TTTTGAGATTCATTTTTTTTTTTTTTTTTTTTTTTTAAATCACGTTTGTTTTCAATTTTAATTTTTATTTTAANTACGCTAATCGAATCTACAAATTATTTGTATCATTTCGAAACTTATTTCAAGAATTACATTATGGATATATCGAATAGTTCAAACATATATCGAAAACAATTAAAAATACGTTAAACGTGAACCTTTAAAAAGACGTCTAACTCGCATTTTTTTAAACAAAAAATCAATTATTTCATTAACATTTATTATTTTTGCGATACAAATTTTTCAATGTAATTTTCATCATTTTATTAGGAAATTTTCAAAAATTTTCGAAATTTTACATCCAAAAAACTCATATCTCATGTAAATTTTTAGATGTAAAATTACATGGAGTGTGATTTTTTTGGACTTAAATTTTCGATTGTAAAAATTCTACCAACTTCTTTACAAGTTCGATTGTGCCCCAACGTTAAAGTCCTGCGTCCACCCCTGAATCTATACAATACTTGACTTAGTAATATGGTCTTCCCATCCATCTATTAAATATTGGAAATATACCACAATTAATATGTGTACATTTCTTGATGGTATTAAATCTTATAAGTTGTAACCGAAACAACTAACCCACCCCGAAAATAGTCCCCACATTGACCAAAAATTCGTATGTTATCTCATTCATTGACTTATCATGGATCCGACCACCGCCCATTAATTAATTAGTTAAACCAAAACGTATGCACATTTGATTGCGCCATGGATAATGGAGACTATGTAGAATAGAATATTCCAAAAATTCCTAGTCTATTTGGTGGTTACAAGTTACAACGTAACCGCTTAGTGGGGTCTTTTTATTTTATTTTATCCAAATCTTAGCTGCTAGCTCCACTTGGCAGTTAAACGCGTTCAGATTTTGTAAATTCTAGTCAAGCCTTCATTATCACACCGGCTTCTGGTTTGTGAAGGATAATGTATTGAGTACACGCGTTGACATAATTCTTTTATAGTAGTGGTTGCTCAATTTTTGAATTAATATATTAATTATCAAATAAAATATTTTATTACTTAACCAATATAGTTACGGTTTAGTCATCAAACTTCAAATTGCTTCTCAATAGTCACTAATCTTTGTGACATTGCCCTACATCCATCATCTTTTAGATTTCGTTCTACTAGTTGCTCACGTGTCACACGAAAATTCCACGGACATGTTATGATTGTTAAAAATATTACAACTCAGACAAACTATTCAACTCCTCGAAATTGCTTAAGCCAAAAATTTGACTTTCATGGCCATAAACACGGTCCCATTTATAATAAATTTGTACCTCGGTGGCGGTGGCACGTGGGTTGATCAAGCAAAAAATGTATGCATCCCTCTTCCTATAGAAGCGGCAGCCGCGAATTACATTCCGTCTGCGAAGTCTTGATGGATGTGAAATGACCACAATAGCAGCCTTCCTTCCTCGATATGGCCGAAATTTGATGACATCTCATTCCTTATATGGTCGGACACATGCTTGCAAAATGGAAGATTGGAATCACAGAGAGGTCAGACACGTGGTGCAATTGGGAGATAGTACCTTCTCGCTTCTTTCTCAATAATCGGCCTTATAATTTAGCTAGACGAAGGGGAGAAGGTGAGTGAATTGGGGGCTATGTTTTTTGGGGTTGAAATTGGGGACCAACAATTGGGGCTTAAAGAAGTGTTCGCTGCCATTGAAGTCACGTTTGGCATATGCAATTTGTGTGAGTGGATGGTTTTGTTGAGTTATAATTTTTTTAACAATCGTAACTTATCAAGTAGAATTTTCGTGGACACATCAGCAACGAGGAGAATGGAATTGGTAAATGATGGATTGAGTGTAACGTCTCAAAGATGAGTGACCATTAAAAATAGCTTGAAATTTGACGTGTAAACCATGATCATGTATAAGTTGGGTGAGTAATGAAACATTTTACTCCTAATGATCACTTGATTATAAAAGTTAACCTAAAAGCCTATGTGTTACTGTTAAATTTCAATGTGATCTGAACTTACTAATTAAAATCGAACAAATATGGGAAAATATGTTTCATAATTACGCTTGTGGAACATCCGCACGAGTTTTTTTGATGTGGCGTACTAGTTAATGGCATTTATGTTCATGTTGAAATTTAAAAGTAATACGTAGAATTTTAGGTTAATTTTTCTAGCCAAGCAATCATTAGTGTAACTATTAGATTCTTAATTAACTATTACTATAAAAAAAATTAATTCAATGACCATTTTGAACTTTTTTAAAACTTGAGTCGGTGACCTTTTTTTTAAAAAAAAAAACAAACTTAAATGATCCTAGATGAAATTATTCCTTTTTGAGTAAATATTACACGCATGATAGGGAAATTTTGAAATATTAATTATTTCGTGCAGACTTGTCCCGGACAAAAAATCTGTTTGATCAAAAGGCAGAAGAATAAAGGTACAAATTAAAAGTGTAGGGCCAACGTTTTGCCAAGCCTAATTATCCCTTTTGTCGGCTAAAGATACTTAGATACACACAGAGTTAATTATTCCAATAGTCACTGAACTTTACTGAAAGTTTCTATCTGATCACTGAACTTTAAAAAATACGTGGTTAGTCATTGAACTTTCGAAACTGCAACCACATTCATCACTGAACTTTAAAAATCACATCTTTGTCACTAAACTTTGCAAAAAGTTTCCAAGATGGTCACTGAATCAGTGACCATTTGGGAAACTTTTTGCAAAGTTCAGTAATCCCGTAGAAATCTTTTGCAAAGTTCAGTGACGAATGTGGTGATTTTTAAAGTTCAGTGATAGACGGGATTGAGTTTCGAAAATTCAGTGACTAATTACGTAGTTTTTAAAGCTTAGTGACTCGATGGAAACTTTCGATAAAGTTCAGTGACTATTGGGATAATTAACTCGATACACACGTAGGGACACAAGTTTGAATTGTAATATGAATAAAAAAAAGACCTTTTGAGGAAATGGTCGGTTACGTGGTGTACCATCCCCACTTTTCAACTAAAAGATTTTCTTTTATTATACCTTAATAATACATAAATAAATATTAAATTGCTTGGTTCAAACTTGTGATTTCAACACTTTATTGAAGTAATTTTTTTTAGATAGTTGAAGTCCTTTTATTGTTTCCTCCGAAATTGCATCGATTTACTTCAAAGATTACATTTCAATTCATACTTAATTATTCATCGACTCGATTGTGAAAAAAAAAAATGAAGAAAAACCAATCGAATGAAAGAATTTTTTTGCGTTTTTTGTTTATAGAAGCACCATCCTCGCTAGATTGATTTTCCTGCTCTTGAAGGTGTGATTTCACACATCTTGGTATGATAGTCTTAAAACTTAACTTGAGTGTTTTTTTTTTTTGAAGAATCTATAATAAACACTTATTGTTATTCGATAAACAATCTCCTATAACGTAAGGAACATGGATTTGGACTCAATGTTATAACTTCATGTAGAACTCTCAATAGAAAAAGGTATACGAAAGCTAGGGTTTGAATAGTATACGAGAGTCAAATGACTTCCTTTTAATCTTTATTTTGCTTATAATCCCATCACCAGCTTAATTATCGAAGTCAAATAGATACCGTTACCATTTCACGATGAAATTACTTAACATTATCTATTTTTTCCAGTTTCTATGATCAAACAAAATTAAGACTGGTTATGATCCGATTCGGTTCGGTTCTAAAGACCGAACTTGAATTAACCGAACCCGAATTTTTGAGTATTTAATAAGTGGAATCGTCGAATTCAAAATTTAATTATGGAACCGTTCGAGTTCGGTTCCCAGGTTCTGTACAATAATTATTTTTTAATATTTACAATAAATCTACATTAATTCAACTAATGACATGTTCAGTCATCGTTCTTGCAAAATAACGTAATTCAATCTCATAATATCTTTTGCATCTTTCATTGTTGAGTTCTTCATATATTTGATTGTTAAAATCATAGAAAGAGAAAGATAGCGAGTTCAAAATAATGAAGAGATAGCTCAACTGAGCTTCCAATTAGATTTGTCTAAAACAATAAAGACGGCACTACGGTAGAATAACAAATTTGGGTAAAATTTAGATCAATTTGATTAAGTTGGACTTGAGCAGAAAATTAGAATAGGAAAATCATATTTTGGGTTTGAATTAAATTAAGGGTGATGCTACACGTACATAATAGGGTGTTCATAACGGTGTCCACCTCCTCACATGGAGGAGGACCCGCTTCGAATAAAATAAAATATATCCAAAGTAGGTCCCCCTTCATGTGAGGGGGTGGATACCGTTATGGATATGACATTATGTACAAGTAGCATATTCTTTAAATTAATTACTTAGCAAATTTATTTTTTAAAAATAAAATAATTTGATTTATTTAAGATAAAAAAATTTAAAAAATTATGAAGATTCGATTCTTGATCTAGAATCAAGAATCGGATCAAATCCGTTAGTTCTCGATTTAGATATTTGTTCGAGTATTTAACTTAAAAAGAACCGTTCCATTTAATTCGATTCCGTTCGAGTCCGAGTCCGATTCGATTCGAGAGTTTTTTTCCGTCCTTAACAAAATATTTACACATTCACCAGATTTTAGGACTGGCATGACAATTAATGCTGTCAAAGTTTTTTTCTGAAGTTGATAGAATGAAGTTTTTGAAGAAAAGATATAAAAAAAAAGGTATTTAGTATTTGATAAGATACTTATCCCAAATGAATCCAATTTTCCAGATAAAGAATTAATATTTTTGGACTTACACTTGGTCCAATGAATATACGCCAAAAAGGTACAGTTCCTGTCCTTTAATCGTCAAACATAAAACTGCTTTCTTTTCAATCCAACGGCCAAGATTTCATGCAACCCCACGAATTATGCCCTCAAGTTCTACCCTGTATACTGTATATATTTACACTACATCCCCGTGTTCTTCAACATGAAAGTGTTTGTAATTACATCTGGAGTTCTTGTTTCCTTAGACATGGCAATCGAATTCTTGATTCCCTTCATTTTTCAGATTTGGTCCGTCGTTCTCTCATGGCTCAACCCTCCTTATCTGTACATTATTATAAACTGCATCATCATCGCCATCGCCGCCTTGTCACGCTTCCACAAAATTACATCCTCTCCTTCGCCGGAATTTGAGTCCTTTCCAGTTCATTCGGAAATAACAGCTGTCTCCGAACCTCCACCACTGGTGTATGAGGGTGATGATAAGATCGTGGAGGTGAAGCCTGTGCTTTTAAATGGGAAAAAAGTTGAAGAACAAGAAACTGATGCTGATGCTGATGCTGATATTGATATTGAACCTGAAGATGAAGAAGATATCTCCATTTCTACGTACACTCCGCCGCAGAAGAGGATTCCCCCAGAGTTTCGTCCAGATTTTCTACTCCCGGCGACACTTGGTCACTGGAAACCTCTCAGAGCCAATCGTAAAGGTGCATGTGCTATTAATGCACTACAATTTTCTACACTATGGTAATAAAGATTTTAGTTTCTTCCTTTTTTAATGTGTACTCCCCCGTCTTGGATCGGAGTATACCTTTAGTTGGAGGTCAGATCGAGTTTACTCCTAAATCTATACTATTTTTTTTTCTCCTGTTATTAGTATAACATGCCGACTATAGTGAAAATTAAACTATAAAAATGTTCTTTTTATTTTTCAGGTTTGAGGACACCAAGGGTGACAAGACCAAAGAGACGACAGACGTTAGAGAGTACATGGAAAATGATAACAGATGGACGTAACGTGCAACCCACAAAGCACCTTGAGAAGTCCGACACATGGGAGCATCGAGGCCATCATAGAGCCATGAATTCCCCATATCACATGTCAAAATCGAAGACCTTCGAGGATGGTACGAACAGTGAATCGCAACTAGAAGCTCCAACGAACTTATCTTTGAGTACCCGGATATCGAAACAATTGTCGCCAGGTCAAGAAGAGTTGAATCGTCGGGCGGAGGCATTCATCAAGAAAGTCAATGAGGAAATGAGATTGCAAAGGCAAGAGTCGCTTGATAATTACATGGAGATGATTAACCGTGGAACTTAGTCTATATACTAACTAAAATTGTTGTTAATTTATTGTTAATTTAGAACTTTTTAAAATAATTTACTGTAGAAAAAAATATTTCTAACAAATTTATAGGGATAAATATGTGAAATGTCTGTAAAGGATCATAGAATATGTTGATCTTTTATTGTTGGTACCTTTAATAGTATAGTTCAAGGTATTTATAATATATAAGATTTTGACTTTCTTTAGCCCCCGTTTGGCATCCATTCTTTCTATTTTTTTTTTTCCAATTCATTTTGCTACAGTTGTGGGCCCCATGTATATTTTCCTGTCATTTTTAACCGACAACAGCAGGTCTGCATGAGCCAGCTCAACACGTTGCAGTAAACATTAATTTACACCCACAAATGCCCTTCAATTTTTTGTTTGCTTTGCCTTCAATAAAATGCAAATTTACACTTTCAAAGAGGGCAAAATCGAAAATTAAAGTCAACGGTAATATTTAATTGAAATGAGTAGTCTAACACAAGTCAAATTTCTCCCTGGTGTGTCCAATCTTCTTCCTGTTGCAAAATGAATTCTGTTCAAAAATGGGGAAAAAAAAAAGGGATGCCAAACGGGGGCTTAATTTCATATTAACTTTAACATTTTCTAATATTTTAGGTATTTTTAGAAGAACGAATTATTTAATATATGTGTGTGTGTGTGTGAAGCCATTTTTCAAATAAAAGAATACCATCCTCACGTTTGGGCCCTCTACGGGCCACAGCCCATGTTACTACTTGTATCCGTCTCTAAAGACTTGGTCAATTCACACTTTTATAAAAAATTAGTGGGGGTGGACGTGCTTTGCAAGTTAGTTGGTTATTGTTAAAAATATATGTAAATTATTGAGAAAGTCATTTGTAAACGTGAAAAATATTCATAAGTTGTTCAAGAAAAAAAACGTCTTGTTTATTAAGAATTGAGGTAAGAACTAAAAGGAATCAACGACCAACAATTAATTTCCACGTGATAACAAGCAATATAATCCAATACTAAGTTTTGCGTTATTTATCTCCTTGGCGTCCTCTTTGAAGTTCTCCTTTCCAACCATCCCAATGCATTCCATCATAACATAAAGCCAGAATCATATCGTGCTGAGAGGATGTATTAGCCACGAGAAGTGAACAATGTGGGCATGAGCTATGAAGTGTTACTCATTGTCAATGTACAAAACAAATAGAACAATAAAAGAATGCATTATTCCAAAATTTTAATTCCAGGAATTTGTAGTAGGTGGATGATGGTTACTGGATTTTTTTTTTTTTTTTATACCCAGGTGACCCAACTTTGTCAAACTAAATCTTTTATACCCAGGTGTCCCAACTTTGCCAGATTAAATCCTGGACCTCCAAGACCCTTGCCTCTAGAACCTTGGAGGAGGTTAATCGAGGGATATGCCTCAACTAGTTCACAGGTTTCCCTCACCAACTGGATTTTTTTCCTGTGAGAGAGAGTTTATTCTGTACGTTTCAATTCTGTATGCTATCCACTATAATGATTCATTATTTTTTCAAGAATATGAAAAGAATTCTAAGAGTCTACAACCTAAATTCGAAAGAAACCCGAGTTTGGATGACTAAATTTGGAAGTTATCAAAGTGTGCACCCGTCCACTCGTAAAATTGCCTATGGATTTCTGAGGAAAAAATGGTAAGATAGAAGCTAAATTTATTTCATGTGTTGTATGGCCTAGTTCAGATTCTTCACCATAAATTGCGTATCAGCAACTCTCGATAATAGAAACAACATTCGTTATAATCAAACCTATAACAATTCCATCAGTTGTAAGCCACTGAAACCTGATTTCCTAAAAAATAAATATACGAATAGTGTTGTTATGTGTAAACATCTTCAAGCTCGAAGGCATAAATATATAGAATATTCAAACAATTTCCGTGGAAAAACCTCCATAACAAGTCATGAGCATTATATTACAGGAGTGGAAAGGACCTAAATAGAGAAAAGGAAGAGATAATCAATAAAGTACTATTGTTATTCACTTTTATTTGAATATGGCAAAGAAGAGGATAGTAAACCAAAAGGCTATAGTCTTTTGTGTCAAATTGTATTGAACTCCTCAAGGACCTTTAAATTTAGGGATAATTGCAGCAAAGGTCCCAAACCTTTCTAATTTTTGCGCATTTTGCCCTAATCTTTGATTTGTGCCNTATATTTGATTATATGCTTCTTTGTTCATTTTATGATAGTGTATAAATTTGAAAGTGTCCATATAATTGCTCTAAAGTACTCCAATCAACTCGTGAGAGACAGAGAGTACTTGAACCATGACATAGTATGAGATTTTCTACACAGGGGCAAAATAATCTCTATCAATACATGAATGTTATATCGTGTAAAGTGTGAAGTCTCATGTACTAACCAACATGTTATAAGGTCAGTCACCATTATAAAACAAAAGATAGCGTACAATTTACACATTCATTAATATTCCAAGTAATAATTAGTTTGTCTAGAAGTGTAGAGGATTATCACAAGGAGATGGAGATTGCTATGATTAGAGCGATGTTGAGTAGGATAGGGAGACCACCATGTCCCAGTTTTTGAATGGTTTGAATAGGGAGATAGCTAATGTGGTAGAGTTGCAACATTATGTGGAGTTGGAAGATATGCTGCATGTAACTATAAATGTGGAAAGACAATTGAAGGGGAAAGGGACATCAAGATATTCATTGGGTTCTAACTCTTTTTGGAAACCGAAATGGGATAACAATAAAGATGATGAAGTTGTTTCAAAAGGTAAAACTGAGCTATCAAAGGGAAGAGAGGAAGTTGTTAGCAAAGTTACACCCAAAGCGGAATCC